CCTGCAGTGAGGTCACCTTGCTACAGCCAGCCGCAGCTTGTGCTCCGATGAAGGGTGTGCACGACTGGAGCAAGTAAGCTGTGTCCATTCTGTGTGGAGGGTGGGAAGAAAGCAGTGCACTCTGGTCCTCACAGCCATTAACATCAACTCTTAAAATAACCAGTCATTTAGCTTCTAGAAATCTTAACCTTGCCGTAGGGTTTTGATTCACCTGGCTGCAGGACTGGACCACACACAGCCCAGGAGAATCTCTCCTAGGATAGGTTGTCCCAAGTTGTCCCAGTGAGAGATTCAACCCTAATGTAGCTCAACTGGAGTCACGTGGGACTGTTTGATTTGATGAAGTCTCTCCTGTGTCTGGTTCCTAGAGGTTGTAATGATGCGGTTGAAGTGCAAGGGGTGGATTTTCTGAGCTGCTCTGGCAGTACAAAGGACAGGGAAGCTGGCTTCTATGAGTCTATAGACAAAGCCTTTGCTGGGATGATCTAGCTGGGGATGGTCCTGCTTTGACCTCCTGAGGTCCCTTCCAACCCTTATTTCCTATGAGTCTCTCCTCAGCTAGCCACCCTGTCCCCACTGGAGAATCCCACTGGGCATGGAGCTTCTCGTTGCTGATTCTTAATTGCCCACATTTCACACGCCTGGCACTGGAGTGTTACTGTGCTCCAGCATTTTCCTGGCTGATGCATGGGAGAAAGGATAGAGTTGCCAGCTGGCTATGCTGTATCAGGGCGCAATAAAACCAGCTCAAGGGTCTCCGACATAGTCTCTGTCCTCCCTCCCAGCTACAGCAGAAGTGTAAGGATCCTAGGTTGTGGTGAGGCAGGATTGTAGCTCCCCTCCCTCCTCTGATTATTGCATGCTCTGCTGATCCTGTATTGCATCGACTGCCACTGAGAGCAGCACCGAGGGAGGGCCACGGTGGCATCTTTTGAAATGCCGTTGGTTCGACATGGTGACATTCAGTGAGAGGTACAGGAGGACTCTTCCAGGAGCTGCGAGTGACTTCCATGGCAGGCTCGTTCAGAGAGTCCCTTCAGTGACTGTGCAGTGCTGCTCCAGTCATGCTCTAGCTGCTGATGGATTTTGCAGCTGTGAAATTCAAGATAATTGTAACCGCACAACACAGTTAGGTGATTCCAAAAGTGGGGGAGGAATAAAATTATGTGCTGTGGGAATTTGCCTGGCTTCATTGATGACTCTGGGCGCAGTCATCAGAGCAGGCGGCTTGGGGACCCGTGTCTCATGAATGTGAAGCCAAAGACTTTGTCTCCCTTTTTCTATGCAAACAGACCACATTTTTATGCTGACTCAACTAATAGCTTGTTCTGGGTGACTCCTAGTCTGAATCCTTGTGAAGTAGCACTATCTATATTCTACTGGTTCAATTCACTTGGAGATGCTCAGGAATCAGGTATTTGCCTGCCCAGCTGGCTCAGCATTTTGAAGCAGAATCTGTATTTTGGTTCTGTGCATGCAAGATTGGAAGTTTTTTCTACATGTATTGCCACAGATGTCAGCCTGGCTGAGGGAGACTCCCTGTAGCATTGAATGAAGAGCATTCCTTTAGTTACATGGGGGTTTTTTTAAAAAAAGGAAAAGGCCCCACAGCACTTATTTCCATGACAACAGGAAAAAAATTGCTTGCAATATTTCTCCTCATCAGCCCTGAGAACAATCTGATTGATAATTACATACGGACAAGTGGAGAAATAGCAAAAAAAGGAGGCAATTATATGTTATGGTTTTCTTGTCCTTGGATGACTGTGGCAGGAGTAAATGATCAGCTTTCCTTGTTATCCCTTGCTTTGCCTATAGAGATGACATTACTTTGTTAGGGACAATGAAATGTCTTAGTGCTACATTACTTGTCTGTAGGAGATGTACAACTCCTGCTTTGAGTCTCTTTATTGCTAAATTTACCTTTTCTAAAAGTCACCTATAGTACACACAGTGAACCTCATCTTTTGACCAGTGGTTATGAGCAAAAACCTCTTAACGTAAATGCTTAGATGGCAAATGTAAAGGATAAAGGAACTGGATTGGGAATATTTTATTAGTCCAGGTTTCCGTGTGGCCATGTTCATGCTAGCATAAGTGAATTGCATATCTCAGTTTCCAGTAGTAGAGGTTTTTATCTTCCACCAGAAACTCATCAAGAAACAACATCCATCTCTTCAAGGCAGATTCATTCAAAACGCAGACCTCTTTAAGGTCCCCTCCCGACGTTACCTTTCTTGTGGGATGTACATGAGTATTGGAGAGAGATTTCCACACGATCTTGCAGCGCTCTGTTCCCTCTCCCCACAATCAAAAGGGAGGGGAGAGCAGGATGCCTCCGAGAGCCTGCTCAGGGGCGTGGTATCACAGCTACCAGGCTGGTGACATCTTTTCTGGGTAAAGATCCCAATGTGCAGTGCAGGTTTGCCACAATCTAGCACCTGGGCTAAGTAAAAGACTCGGTGAGCCTACAGCCTAAGGTCCCAGACTGCCGCTGACCCCAGTGATCTGACCCCAGTATTGCAGGCACAGCTGGTAAAAATCCCAGCATGCCGCAGCCTGGGGAACTGATCACCAGTCAGTGGCTTCTGGGCTCCCTGGCTACAGGACCCGGGACCTTTTAATAGGTGAGGGGCTCCCTTGCAAGGGATGGCAGGGGCTGATGGAAGGGCTGGGGAATGGGGGTCCATAAACCAATAGTACCTGCAAGGGTTTACATTCCCTTTCAGTAAGACAACGTTCTGGGCTTATGGGCTTCAAGTTGTTCCCTGTGGCTCAGCCCGGAACAGGAAGCTGAAACTAAGAAGGGCGTTGAGCACAGCCGTGGCAGCTTTTGGCATGTCCATACAGCCAGGCTGCCCTGTCCATGGAATTAGGAGGTAGGCAGCTAAGTAAATATCAAGACATACAATAAAGGGAATGGGAGACGGGCAAAGGGATTAAAGAAAGGACAGGTGGAAACAAGTCTTCAAGGGACCAGGAAAGGAGAAGAGAAAATAAGCTGTGAAAAGGGACCAAAAAAGGCAGAGGATGAAAGAGACTGAGTCATTCGCAGCACTTGTGAGCGGGGCAAGAATAGCGATATTCAGGAGGATGCCATGCTGGCCCATGTTACACCGAGTAACAGAATACCACAGTGAGAGGGCTTTCTTCTAGCATCATAGGACATGCCCAGCAGCACCAGGACAGCCGGGGCATTAGCTTGCCTTCCACAGTACCAGCAGTGTGCATCTAGCATATCGGCAAGCATGGTTGAGTCCCGTGAGGGTTAGTGGCCCTGGGAACTGCCTTCCAGCTGCTCATTTCCATGTCTGCCTCCAAGGGTAGTAGGTCCAAATGGAGCCAAAGGATGAGGAGATGGTCTCGAGGAAAATCGTACCTTGTTTTGTGCTCCTTCTCCCTCACCATCCTGAGCAGGTGCCTTTCCTTTTGATTTCTCAGGATGGAGGGTGGGTTAGCTTCCCCAAGGCTGTGCCAGGAGAGGTCTCACACTGCATCTGAGCCAGAGGGGTTCTTCTTCCCTTAGGTTTGTCTCTAATTTGGACTCAGGCCAGCCTGGAGAGCTGACAGCCACAAGCATGAGCGGCTTGTTTTAATATAACAGCAAATGAAGAGGCTGTACATTTAAAAAAAAAAAAAAAAAAAAAAAAAAAAAAAAAAAAAAAAAAAAAAAAAAAAAATCAGATTGTGTGGATGTCCTAATTTGGGCTGTGCTGTAATAATTGACTTGCTGGTTGCACATCGTGTATTTTCATGTGGAAATGACAGGTTCAGGTAGGGCACCGGTAGCCAGTGCCCTGTGTTTTCTTTCAGCGCTGCTACTGACCTGCTCCATGCTTTCTGGGCAGGCTTTTAAACCACTTTGCCAGTGGTTACATGTGCAGAAAATGTTGTGGCATCTTGCACTTCCTCTAAAAGGTATTGTGAAAGTTAATGTGTGCAGAGCAGTTGGGGAAAGGGCTATTTTAAATGTAAAATAACTTGTGATGAATATGAAACACGTTACATAAGTGACAAATGCGTCATGACCCTCAATTGGAATACTTAATGCGGGAGGATGCACTTCCTACTGTCGCAATAGATTTTTTGGCATACATTTCCTCTCCTGTGCACATGCCCCCACAAACAGCAATTGGTGTCTAGCATTATTGGGGCACTTTTTGTTTAGGGTAAGGTGATCCTGGCCCCTTGAAATTAATGGCAGCACTCTCAGTGTCTTTGAGACTAGATTCCAGGCACCATCCCATCTTCAGGGGGGAATAACATTAGTGGTTTTTCTGATCTGGCATGAGCTGTTGCTATGACTTGCCATTTCTTCTCCAAAGAGACTTGAGATGACCTCAAATCGTGGCGATTCAAAACAATTGGTGGCTGCTCATTGTATTTTAAAAAAAGAATAACCTTTTTATTTTTTATTTTTTTTGGGGGGGTGTGGAGAAATTTGCAGTCTTGTATATGAATAGTTAGTTCTCCTGGAATTTATTTTTGTAGCCTACTAGCTCACATCAGGTCATTGCTAATGAGGAGTGTTTGTTATCATTAGCTCTCAGTATATCTTATAGATAACCGTATTGCTTTAGAACACAAGCAGAAAAGTTTTAATATAGAAACATATTATTATTTAATAAGAGAAGAGGCCTATAACCACACCGAATAGTCCATCTTCTCTTCCTGGAATATTAATTTAATGTTTGTAAAGCAATTTGGGAACATGCATTACGCACTGCAGTAAGTATGCATTACTGATCATCCTGGTTTGTCATTACCACAGCTCTCAGTGCACTTAAAGCCTTGTATTACTTAGTTTGCAGAACAAATAAAGAACCCAGAACAATGACCTGAAGGAAAGCCAGCGTGTCCTCTGTCTAAAGATACTGAGCTGTAGGCTGGCTGTTTCAACCTTGTGGCATTCATCAGTTTAAATGCCTAGCATTTAGTTTGAATTTTAATCTCATTTGGTTTTGTTCTATTTTTTGCAATCTGGTCACTTTGTTTTTCAGGCAAGTTCAGAGTCTGCGTTGGATCCCCAGCAAATCCAGGCCTTTGATCAACTCTGCCGACTTTACCGGGGAACCTCCAGGGTAAAGTGGCTTCCCTTTTTTTTTTTTTTTTTTTTTCCTTTCTTAATTGATCAGGAGTTTGGGGAAAATGCTCTGAGAAGAACACTTGTGTGCATCACAGAGCAGGAGAGGGGTAGAACGCCCTGGCTGTACTTGGCAGACAAGGTTCTTTGGGTAGATGTGATATCTTTTACTCGATCAACTAAATAGCGGGAAAAATTGTTCTTTGCAAGTTTTCAGTCACAAACACCCTCCTTCAGACTGTAATTGAATACTCCAGCCTTGTCTCAGTGTGCTGATGGCAGAGGAAAAAGGGAAGGTACCAGGATATCATCTCTGTCCCCCCTCCTTGGTCTGACAAAGACTCATTAGCACCAACCTTACCACAAAGGAAGAGGAGGGATATTCTTGCCCTCTTACAGCATACAGGCATAAGTGACTGCCACTGTTGCTAAAGAATAGGTTTCTTTTCATCAGAATCCTTTGGAAGACTGCACAGGGCAGATTGCCTACAGGCTATGGAGAAATGTTTAAACAGAAAAAACCTGACCTGGGTTTCTAGATAGACCAGTCAGGCTAGGCACTGTGGAGTTAGGAGGAGGCTGGACACTTGGATGGTAAGCTAGGAAGCCAGGACAATGGGAAGAGGGTGCGTTTTAAGGGTGAAGTTTGCATGTGAACAGAGTTCCTAGGGAATTCAAACCCAAGAAGCAAGCAGACAACATGAGAGACCAGATAATGCTGCTGTGAGGGGCAGAGGCTGCTTCAGATAGTGTGAAGGGACTGGTGATGGGTGCGTGCACAATACCTGCCCCTGTTCTCCTCCCCTACTATGCAATGTACGGTAAAGAGCTGCTGCAAAACTGAACTCTCCTCTCAGGGAAGATTCTTCCCAGCTGGTGGCAGATGAGATAGCAATGCCAGGGAGGCTCTCTACACACCTGCTGTCCCAGCCTGAGGCCTGAGACATGCTTTACCAGCCAGTGACTTGGTCTATAGATAGTCAGTCCTAAGATTTTTGCCTATCTCTGGTCTTCTGGGGTGCCTATACATGAGCACGGAGGCTGCTCTGACACGCTGGAATTCCAGCGCATCAGAGCAGACTTGATCAATTGAGTCTGCTGCAGCATTGCAATTACCTCGCTCCAGCAGCCTCCTGCATCTCATGTATCAGAGTATCCATGCTTTAAAATGGTGGTAGGGGCGCTTAAACTAAAGCTTGTTGAATGAGCTTTAGTTGGTGCCCCCACCCCCATTTTTAAGTGTGGGGACGCTGATGCATGAGATGTGGTGGTGCTTTAATTAGAGCGGCTCTCAGAGCTGGTCTAATTAAAGCGCTGCCCCCCCCCAGCCCTAGAGCACATGTAGAAGTGCCCCTAGTACCAGCCAGGGCCCAATCAAGTTCAGTCCAGGAGGGTATGGAGCAAAGAGGAGAAGCCAGCCCTGCTGGTGGAGAAATGGTGCCCCTGCTATGGATGAAGAGGGGTTCCCCAAGCAGCCTGTTAACAGCTGAGCCCTCCTTTGCTCCTACATCTCTCAGGCCAGTTGCTTCCTTCCAAGGGCCCCAAACAGGTTTGCAGGTCTGCAGAGGCAGGCTACGCTCCTACGGGCAGTTTGTGGCAAGAGGCTCTGCGTGCATTGCTAACAGTACCTTGACGCAGAAAGTCTCCCCCACTCCCCGCCCGCGCAGATGTGATGCTCCGGCAAAGAGGCTGCTTTTCAGGGACAACACGTGTGAAATGGCACCCTCATGCTGTCACGTCTGACACGGAAGTATTTTTTAAATGGCCAGCTTCCATCACCAGAAGACTGATACCAATTCCAGCCACGTCATACACATTAATGCACCATCTCCACTTGCTTTCTGTCAGTGGCTGTCAGCAAAGTGTCCTGGTCCTAGCTTCAAAGAAGGGGTCAAATGTTCATGTGGGTACAAAACATAGGTGTTCCTGACAGCTCTCTAGACACAGGGGCATGTGTCCCCATTTCCCCCCCATACAGTGAAGGGCAGTCGTAACCCCTGGTAGGCCTGGAGAGTTCAAGCCAAGGGATAGCTGCCTAGAGGTGGTGTGGCCAGGATGATGATGCCCTGCTTGCTGGCTCCAGGAGATGCTGCCTTCCATTGGGCCCTTCTGTCTGGAGCTCTGGGCCCAGTTAGTTGCACCAGAGCTGCTCCCTGATCAGGTCTGCTGTGGTTTATGGAGCAAGACCTCTACCCCTCTGTGCTCTGCAGCTGCCCCAGCTCTTTTATCCTGTTGAGTCCCATCACCCCAGAGATGCCTCCTTGGCCTGCAGAACCCCTGTGTGTCCATCCACAGTCACAGGAGCAGTGTGTAACTTCTCCCTGCATGGTCACAGGAGAGACTTCCCTTGGGCCCTCTGTCCCTTCTCCTATCTGCTGATGCAGGAGTGCTTCTGGTCAGGGTGTTGACCCCTTCCCAGACCTGGTCCGTGTCAGCTTCCACTCTCCTTGAGGGCATCCCCGTAGGTGGCTGTGAGAGTGGTTAGGGGTGGTTCTTCAGTAGGTACCACACAATGGGAGGGGGTGGACATTGTTGCTCAAATCATACTGTACAGGAGCATCAGCTTGCCATGCTGACATGGCCCAGCTCGTGCTCTGGGCTGTGGCCAATGGCAGCAGATACCTCAGAGGAAGGTGAAAACAAATCTTCATGGTACACTTAAATGAGCAACATGAGCCCATAGAAAGGCCTCTTCCTGCCACACAGGAGAACTGAAAAGCCTTGGCTGCTGTTCTTGGTGATGTACTGGCCTTACTAACTTCTGTGAGGACTGCTCAGGCCCTGGGGTAGTGAGTGATACATTTCTTTTGTCTCCCAGTTGGCTCTCCTGACAGAGCTGTCCCGGAGTCGTGGTGGAGAAAGGCCCGGGCCTCTCAGCGTCTCGCAAGGCGACTCTGCCCTGAGCAGTGTTTTCCAGAATGAGAATTTCCAGCTGCACCTTGCTCCCCCTCCATTCGCAGAGGAGTAGCTGTCTTCCCTGGTGAGGCCCATGGCGGCTGCAGAGTACTGTGGGACAATTCCTGCCATCGATGCAAGAGACTGAGTGACTGATGCAGAGATCTGTCATGCTTGTTCAGATTTGCGGGTCTGTGCAAACGTGACTTCCTTTTGTGACATTGCTTTGTGATCAGTGGGTTTATAACAATAGGCTATCTCTATTAGGATCCCTCTGTCAGCCTCTTTGTCCTCTGGAAGCTATGAACTCTTTGGCAAATCCATCGGTGACAAGTACAAGGTCTTGGGGCAGCTGTACTAATCCCTGGAGCTACTGTTTCTCCAGTCAGAGTAAACCCAAATGCCTGGAATCCATGCCACGTCCGTTCTTATTCCCAGAGAATGCATACCGTCCCACATGCCAAGTCAGCATATCTTGAGCTGCTGCCTTAACACATATGAGGGAAGTGGATAATTAACTTGAGTTGAATTTCAGTATCAGTAAAAGCAGTAGAGGGAAGAAATTCCTGCCTCATAAGGAGTTTGCAAATACAGAATAGTGGATCAGATAGAAGTGGGTGGTTTCACTGCATGGAGCACCGTGGACCTGGGAGGACTTGTGTGCAACACTCCTGTGAAATTCCATTTCGTAATGATAATAATAATAAAAAAAATCCTGTCCTTTAAGTTCTGTAGTCCTGATGAACAGCTGTTTAAGCCACTCGCACAGTAGAGAGGGGGCAGAAGGGTTGTTTTGACAGGCGCAGCTCTGGAGATGATGGTTCTTCTCATTGCCATTAATCAGAAGTTTGATAGCAGAAGATGCATGACAGTATCCCATCCAGCTGGTTTGGAAGATGCAACCTCTAGTCCCAGGTACTTTGTATTGGCTGATTCCTGATCTGGTTTGGTGCTAGCATTTGCACAGCCTTCTTCCATGTCCAACAGAGCAGAAGTATTACACCAGCTGTATAAATATTGGGCTGGCTGCTTCTAAGACCATGGTTTACATGAAAAGGACTTAATGTTCCTTTCCTCCCCCTTCTTTTAACTCAATGACCTGTATGTGAGTTACCCCAAAGCAAGACTGAGAGCTCCTTTTTCAGCCTTTCCTTCCCGACATATGAGGCTGTAACTGTGACAGAATGTCTCTTCCTCCCCGGTCCCCTCTGAGAGGGTGAGTTGTGCAGATGCAGTTGATGGCTTGACAGTGCTTGAGGACTGACCATATCTGTATTCCCTGGCCTAGGAAATCTCCCAAACACCACACCCGAAGAACAGGGTCAGGTGTAGAAGCAAGAGGGGTTGGTCTTACCGAGGACATAGAAAGAGCTGTCCCCATAGTGAGAGACTATTAACAGAGTCACTTACCCAGAAAAAACAAACACTGCCAGACCAACTAAGATGTAGAGCTGTCCCCAAGCAGTGCTGTTACTGTCCAGGCTGGAAGAGGAAACTAAATAGATGGGCTGAGGATACTGATGCCTGTGTCCCGGGGGTGTGAACAAAAGCCAGTCATGTCTTGCCTCATGGTACATGTACTGTTGGATTCTGGTAGGGAAGTCCTACAGAGGAGGACTGTCATTGTCTGCTCCTGTGAGAACATTCCCCTCTCTTCCCCCTACAACCTGGGAAATCTCCTTCCCAGAAGCATGTTTCCTTTCCCTCCCCTCATGAGCCAATCCCTTTCTTCTTTCAGGGAGTTGCCCCCTGCCTTGTGCTGGGGACAGTGGGGCAGTACGGGACGTGAGGAAAGAGCAAATGTGTGGTCTTGGGGCATGGAGGTTGGGGGAGAAGGCCTGGGTGCAGCACCTGCTGTGGCAGATGGGAGCATGAGGTCCTCTGAGCTCAGAGCCGTCAGGCATAAGTTCCTTCTTCAGCCCTGCCCACATGCTCCAGATCTCCCTGGTCATCAGAATAAGTGCCTTTGAATTGTGCAGGGTTAACTGTGACTAGAGAGAGGAAGGTCCCAGGCTCCAAATCTAGGCCCTCTGCTCAACACCCAGGTGGTGGGCTTGTGCGAGAGAACTGGGAGGGTAGTGGGGAACATGCATTAAAGATAAAGGAGTGATGAAAATGCGCATGACCTGAAATACTGAGACAAAAGTAGAGTAGAACGTGATATGTTGGTGCAAATGCATCGTGGTTGCAGGTGGGTACAGATGCATGTGTGTGTACGTTGGCTACGATTTGTGGAGCTTGTATGACCTTCCTAACTGCTGTATGCCTCCCAGAAGGAATCAATATCCTCTTTGCCCTCGGTCAACCTCCAGAGATGGCATGAGTCAATCATTGAAGAGCATCTTTCCCCTGTGATCAGCAGTTCCCAGTAGATGGTGGGTCAGATTTCAACAGTTCGATTCCAAAGGACACTGGAGTAGCCAAGATTATCGAACTGTGCTCCTACAGAAATAGTAGGCAGCATCCCATGGACAGAGGAGCTGAAGGGGGTCCTGGCAGTTCCTAGGGGCCCTGCTACATGTTCAAATGAAAGCTGGATAGAAACCAGCTATAGAGTTGTTACATATTTTCAAGCACCGAGTTCAAAGCTAGTTGACTCGATTTATATCTGAAGAATAATTTTTTATCATGTGGTCATTACTTTGCATGTGTGGCCAGTCTAAATTTATTACACGATTAACCAGTTAATTGCGTAATATAAGTAACGTGTAGCAGGGGCCTAAAGGGCAGTGTAGTGGAGGTTCAGTACCAAGCCACATAAGACTAGCGGGAGACTTATTTGGCCACATCAGGAGTTTCTTAGCTGCCTGGAAATCAAAGGATACAGGCTGTTTGTGGATCTGGAAGTCATTGTGAGAGTGTACGAAGGAGTAGCAGAACTTCCTCAAAGCAGTTGGGAAAGTGAGGGTGAAGAATGAGATGCAACTTGTGAAGGGTATTAGAAAACAAAAAAAAGAGCTTTTATTAATACTGATGATGATGATAATAACCTCACACCCATAGCCCTCTATTCTCTGCCCATAGCCCCCTCTCCTACAGAGGGTCTGTGGCTTTCTTTAAATACCAGCCAATTGCCAGTCAAGAATGACAGTGGGGGGGAGCTGGGATGGAGTGCCGTCAAGTATCGCCCCGTGCTGCCACTGTTCTGCCTCTCGCAGGAAGCAGGGTGCGGGAGCCAAGGCCAGCGCTGACCTGGGCTCCCCCACCCTCTGTCCAGTTCTCGGCGTGGTTTTGCAATCTCAGTGTTTCCATTAGCCAATCAGAGTGCGAATAATGCGTTACGGACACACAGACTTAGACTTTTATAATATTAGAATTATGCATAAATCCTCCCCTTTCCCCCAACAAACATTCAAGAAGCCATGACAGGATAACAACCAAAGGCCTTGTTCTCAAGATAGGTGCCACCAGCTCTTTGGATCCTGCAGGCTTAATGAGGTCCTTCTCCCTCAGTTTGGGTGGCCAGACTTTTGACAACTTTGAATGATACTAGCTGAACCTGAAGAAATTCATCCCAAGGTGCAGACAGAATGAGCTGAAGATATTTCAGAGTGACTGCTAACAGTATTCTCAAGGTCATGGACAACAGGTGAGGTCCCAGAGGCTTGGAGAAGGACTAACATAGTGCCCATCTTTAAAAGGCGGAAAGGAAAATACAGGGAATGCTAGCTTGGTCACTTGGCAAGTTACCACACCAAATTATAAATTATCTTGTTTGTAAAAACTCTGGAAGAGAAAAGGGGTGTATGTTCACAGTTAGTGTTGATTTGGTGACCAAATCATGCCAAACCAACTTGATGTCCTACTCTAGGCAGATAACTTGGTGGTTGAGGCAAAGGCAATAGGACCTAATATCCCTGCACTTCAGTAAGGCTTTTGCCATAAGTTGCTTGTGATAGTCTCAATTTTGGGCTGTATTAACATCAGTGTTGTATGCAAATCATAGGAGGTGATGGTGCTATCCGACTGTGACAGGGGGCCATCCCAGGACCCGTCACAATGTCAGCCTGCCCACCTGTCTAGGGGAGTCTGCCCTGACTCACCTTGATGTAATGAAGCCAGATGGAAAAAATGCAGAAGGCTCCCCATTTAATGCCCCGATGCCAAAAATTTTTTAAAAAAAACAAACCAAAACGGACTCGATGATCTATTGAGGTCCCTTCCGACCCTAACATTTATGAAAAAAGCCAAAGCCTTCCCGACGACACCAGCGCTGCAGTCTTTGGTTGACCACGTGGATCCTCCTCTCCCTCCTCAGCCCATAGCCTGAGACTGGGAGGATCGACGAGAACACCACCTGTGCCTCCAGACCCTTTAGCCCCGCTCCCAAATCCTTGTAGCGCCTCATGACCCGGCTGGGAGCGCTCCGTGCAGTGTCATTGGTGCCCACATGAATAAGGAGCATGGGATAGTGGTCTGTGGGTTTAAGGAGCTTTGGGATCCTCTCCGCAATGTCCCAGATGCAGGCCCCCGGGAAGCAGCAGACTTCCCGGGCTAAGGGGTCGGGGTGGCAGATTGTCCCCTCAGTCCCCCTCAGGAGGGAGTCCCCCACAACAAACACCTTATGTTTTGTCTTGGGGAGAGCAGGGGCGGGAGCTGCAGTTGGGCCCATGTTGCCTGCGGGGGCCGGCAACTCAGCAGGCTCTGCTGGGGCGGCAAGAGGTGCGTACCTGTTGCTCAGCTCTGGCGGGGCAGGGGCCTTGGTGCGGCGGGCCTTAGGGCCCTTGACCACCTTGGTCCATGCCCCTGGCTGGACACAGCGGGAGGTCCCAAAGTCCTTCTTTGGCGTGGAGGGGGACTGTGGTCTACCCTCTGCCTCCCGGGGGAGAAGGGCCTGGCAGTAGGAGGCTATCTACTGCTCGCA